CGTACGGCACCGCCTACATCACCTTCAGCTACTCTGATCCCTAGCCTGCCATCTTTCGCGAAAAAGCTGTCTAGCACCACTACTTCGGCTTTACAGCCAATTCTTCCGACTATACGGAGGCGATGCTCCGTGCTCCTGTCTTCTCTGATGTCTCCACCGGTCACCCAGATCAAAGTTCCGTCCCTGTCGGGTCTGCTGGGCATCCCGCCAGTTCCCAGTGTTTCCGTACGCTGCACCCCCAGACCCGTGGCCATGCCGGACCTGTTTATCCTCGAAATCTCCTCTTTGACCCTACCGTGCTCTTCCATAACCTTGATTAACTTTCTCTGACCCTCACACAGATCTTCTTGCGCGCCCGTATACATCGCATGCATTCTGTCCAGCAGCGTTTTCACCTCATTGGCCTTCCTGACTCCCATGGCCGACCCAGCGCAGACATTCAGAACTGCTTCCATAACAGTCACGAAGCCGCCGGTCTCCTGGGTCGGAGGGAGATTGATGTTGGACGAAATATCGGAGTTGTTGTCGATAGTCATTCGATTGACGAGAACCGAAAACAGTCACTAGAACCGAAAACAGTCACTAGAACCGAAAACAGTCACTAGATTACGGGCCTCATACAATCGGGACTCTGCATCTCTCGTCATCGGTAACCTAACTCTATAACAGCACAGCGTCGGCATGCTATCGAAAAACCCATTATTGCGAGTCACAGAAAGAGTCCTTCCATCATTTAATAATTCTCCAGCACTATTAGCTTCCGATAAATTCCAAACGTCCGAGTGCTGGTCACGTGATGAGACGCGCCAAAAGCTAGTGGTTGGGCGTCCGTCGATGTTACATAAAATCACGACGGTTGAGTCGATAGTAAGATTATCAGGTGAGCATACAGGTAAAGTAGATAATTTTTCGATCAGATTTTTCATACGAAGAGAACCGTCAGCGATCTCACTTTGCTGCAATTCTCGAGTCACTGCAATCGCCGGTAGATCCGGGAAACTACCGTCCCGATCATAGGATTTTTTAC